GTTGCTTAGCCATTGTAAGTGATAGTGTGGGGGTCTGGGTCTGGGTGGGATGGTCTTTGGAGGGTTGGTATGGACTTGTTGGGCCAAATGACCCATTTGCACTGTCGGGGTTTTATGATTCTATCTAATATCATTGAGGAACAAAAACAGAAATTGCTGGCGAAACCCAGCAACATATGTGTGAAGAAAGCAGAGCTAACATTTTGAGTCCAGTGATTCTTCATCGGAGTGACTGGAGTAAATGATAACAAATTCTTCCCACTCATGGAAGGATCAAAAATAAAAAGGCACAGATTTAAGATAGTTGATTACAGAAGCAATGGTGATATGAGGGAAATATTTTTCATACAGCTAGTGGTTGAGATCTGCAGTGTGCTGTCTGAGATTCAGTGAAGGTAGATTTAATTAAGACTTTCAAAAGGAAATCAGACTGCTGTATGAAAAGAAAAAAAGAGCAGATTTACAGAAGGAGGTGGGTCATGGTACTCTGTGCATTTCTCATTTGGAGATGCTGGTACAGACACAACAGGCTGAATAGGTCCCAGGTCTAAAATGCAAGATTTTGCTGATAACACCGTTTAAGAAAATGTCCTCAGATCATACTTATTTTCTCAGGTATTCAGGTACTGGTAGGAATGTTTTATATATTTTAAATGGAAGATAAGCAGCATACAAAAAACTGGCTGCTTAATGTAAGTGAAATGATGATTTTGGCAAAAACTGAAAAAACTGCGGACGCTGTAAATCAGGAACAAAAACAAAGTTGCTGTAAAAGCTCAGCAGGTCTGACAGCATCTGTGAAGGTAAAAAACTGAGTTAATGTTTTGGGTCCGGTGACCCTTCCTCAGAGCTGGTAATGATTTTGGTAATTTGGTAATGATGAAACCCATTTTTAGCTATATAAATAAAATTGCACCAGGTTTCCTCACTTAAATAAAACAAGAAATATTTTCTCATGGACGGATGAGAAAATAGACAAATTAATTCCTCAATTAATTGAAGAGTTTAAGTCTGCAATTATGCAAATTTTTTTTACCAGAAACATGAAATGTTTGTGTTTACATCAGCCAAATTTTGGGTTCAACGTTCTATTTTAAACTCTATTTTAAAACCCCATGCTCAGATTCCTTTATTTTTTGGCTTTCAGAATAATGAGTGTTACAAAGAAAGGCTGGATAGACTGGAACGTTTTTCATTGGAGTGTAGGAGGTTGAGAGGCAACGTTATGGAAGTTTATAAAATAATGAGGGCTGTGGATAGAGTTAATGGTAGTTGCCTTTTCCCTAGGATGGAGGATTTCAAGACGGGGTGGGGGGGGCACATTTTTAAGGTGAAAAGAGAGAGATTTAAAAAAAACTTAGCGGCAATTTTTTTACACAGAGGGTGGCTCGCATGTGGAATGAACTTCCTCAGGAAGTGGTGGATGTGGGTACAGTTACAAATACATGAATAGGAAAGGTTTGGAGGGATATGGGCCAGGAGCAGGCAGGTGGGACTAGTTTATCTTGGGATTATGTTCAGCATGGACTGGTTGGACTGAAAGATCTGTTTCCATGCTGTATGAGTCTATGTTGAGAGGGTGTTTCTCCCTGTTTAGAGAGGCTTTATGTAGCTTTATAGTCTCAGTGTTTAGGGCTGATATGTGGACAAATTTCATCACTGAGAGCATCTGTTAAATTCTCTACCCAAGAAGACTAAGTTGTTGAGTAAACTCAGCACTGAGGTCGATTAATTATTGGACACCAATAAACAAAGAAATATTGATGAAGATGGGAGTGTGAAGTTGAGTTGACCTTATTGAATGACAGAGTAGGTTCAGAGGTACTATAGCCTGTTGCTCCTATTTCTTACCTTTTAACATGTCAAATACTTAGAAACATTTGCCAGGTGGAATTTGGGCAGATGGTGATATAGTATCAATAGTCATGGAATGAGTAATCCAGGCTAATCCTGTGTTCATGTGTTCAATTCCCCCTACAGTACATGGTTAAACTTAAAATTCAATTAATAAATCTGAAACACAAAGATAGTTTCAGAAATAGCAGTCATGAAACAAACATTGATTATTGTAAATGCATCTGCCTCTGAGTCACCCAATCCGAAATGTTAACTTTAATTTCTCTCCACAGATGCTGCTGGACTTGCTGAGCTTTTCCAGCAATTTCTGGTTTTGGTTTGCTAATGTACTTTCTGGAAGGGAAAGGCCATTCTTACCTGGCCTGGCCTACGTGTGACTCCAGACCAGGTACAATTGATTCTTAACTGCCCCCTGAAGTGGCTTTGTGATGACAGATGGGCGACAAATTCTGGCCTTGTCAGTGATGTTCACATCCAAAGAAAGAATAAAGGAAAGAATATATAGGTGTCCTTTTGTAGAAATTTAATAAGGAAGATGACACAGATTGAGCACTCCCTAAACTTGAGAGGTGAAACTTTACTGCTCAATTACCAATGACAAATAAAGCACAGCATCTGCCTTCCTTTGGCAGAAAGAGTTCCCTCAGGGAATAAATTAGGCCCCGAGCTTTACTGTGTTCATTAAATTGCTGCCAAGATATCCTGACTGCTCACATTGTACATACAAAGAAGACACCAGAAGCTCAGAGACAATAGCTGGAGGAAAACATTCAAACATAGAGAACATTCAAAAACTGTCAGCAGCTAGACATCATGAGAAGCTAATCGCTTCAGAACATCAACTTGCGCACAAAAACTCAAAGTAATGGGGAGTCTCTTCCTGCATCAGCCTTCTAGATTTAGAATTTATACTTACCTACACATCTGGTGAGGAAGGACTTTTTAAAATCTACATGGATATGAGGGACAGACTTTATCTTTTGCACAGCAAGAGGTGAAACATTTAGGATGCACTCTCTGAGAGTGTGGTGGGGACAATCAATTACAGCTTTCTAAAGAGAATGCAATAATTGTCTGAGGATAAAAATTTGCAGGATTATTTCGAAAGGCCAAGTGGAGTGAGACTAGCTGAGTCACTCTTATAAAGAGCCAGTGTGGATACAATGGGCTGGATGATCTCTTTCTGAGCTCCAACTTTTCGATGATCCTGTCCATACTGGAAAGGCTAACTGTACTAAAAGTTACTAACTCTCCAGCACCAGATAGGATGCATCCACAGATGGCAAATGAAGGAAGGATGCAAATTGCTACTGTTTGCAATCTCTTGATCATCCTCAAATACATGAGCACGGCTCAGAGGATGCTTTGCAAATGCTACACCCTTTTCCAATGACCTCAGCAACTATGGGCCAGTCAGTTTAACCTTGATACTGGGACCAGGTCAAACCTTTGAGTCCCTTGGATTAATTAAGGAAAACCTAAAAAGATTTGCTTAAGATAAAACATGCTTAACTAACTTGATTCTCTTAGAGTCATAGAGTTGTTCAGCATGGAAACAGACCCTTCGGTCCATCTCGGCCGTGCTGACAAAATACCTGAAATTAATCTAGTCCTATTTGTCAACATTTCATCAATGTCTCTCTAAACCCTTCCTATTCATGTTTCCATTCAGATGCCTTTTAATTGTTATAATTGTACCAGCCTTCCCTGGCAGCTCATTCCGTACATGCACCACCTTCTGCGTGAAAAAGTTGCTCCTTAGATCCCTTTTAAATCTTTCCCTTCTTATGTCCCCTAGTTTTGGACTCCCCTACTCTGGCGGAAAGACCTTGGCTATTGTCTCTATCCATGCTCCTCATGTGGCTGGGAGTTAAAATTTTACATAGTAATTGCTCCTCTTAAGTACTTTGGGACATTTTAGTAAATTAACATTGTATGATTTCAAGAAGGAGATAGATATAGCACTTGGAGCTAAAGGGATCAAGGGATATGGAGGAGAATGGGGAATAGCCTATTGAATTAGATGGCCAACCACGGTCATAATAAAAGGCAGGCAGGCTCAAAGGTCTGAAGGTCAACCCCTGCTCCTATTTTTTATGTTTCTATGTAATGGCACTATCTAAATGCAACTGCAGTACTGCAGTGGACTATCTACCACTGTCCACTGGGATATTAAACTACAAAGTGGCTAAATTCCTGATGACAAATATTTTACATATTAAAAGCTCAAACAATTTTGAGCAGCTATCAGTGACCACTTGGGTACATGTTGCATAGCAACCTGGAATGATGCCATAACAGAGAAAATGCTGGAGAAATTCAATAAGTCTGATAGCATCCATGAACAACAACTGACCATGAGCTTAGTTCATCTGGCTGACATCTCATTTTTGAGTTAGATAATTTAAATCTCAACCGAGACATGAACTATCTAATTTGGACTGAACAAGGGTTGCAGACATTTTTCGGACAAGGTAACGTGCAAGTGGTATGGGCAGTTTAAAAAAATAATATAAAGCTACTCAGCACCATCTAAGGCAACACAATGTGTTTGATCAGCATGCCATCCATTAACTTATACAAAACCATATGCTCTGAGAACATGGGTTTTAAATCCCAGCATGATAGATGATAAACTTGATTTCTGGAAAAATCTGGAAATGAAAGCTGTCTCAATGGTGACTGTGTATCCATTATCAACTGACATGAAATACTTGTCTGGTTCACTGATGCCCTTTAGGGAAGGAAATCTGCTGTCCTTCCTTAGTCTGGCCTACATGTAACTACAGACCCACAGCAATGTGGTTGACTCTTAACTGCCCTCTGAAATGGCCCAGCAAGGTACTCAGTTCAAAGGTAACTTGGTTTGGGCAATAAATGACAGCCCAGACTGCAATATCCACAGCCTATGAATGGATTTAAAAAAAACACATTGTGGCAACCAGCCAAGGCCCCTTCGATAGAATCTTCCAAACCTCTACTACCTGGAAGGATAATGTTGTGGAAACCAAACAGGAACAGCAAAATCTGCAAGATCTCCCCCAAGTCATGCACCACACTGAGAAGGAACGATACATGCCACTCCTGCAAAATCCCAGAACTCTCTTCCCAAAAGTCCTGAAGATGTACCTACACTATATTACCTGCATTGGTTCAACAAGATGGCTCATCACCACCTTCTCAAAGGGCAATAAGGGATGGCCAATAAGGCTGGCCCTGCAAACAAGGTTCACATCTCATGAATCACAGAATCACAAAAGTGTTACAGTGCAAGAGGAAGCCATTACAAGGAAGCAGTGCATTCCAATCCCAGTCATGCATGTGAAAAAGCTTTTTCTCACATCATCATTGTTTCTTTTCCATATCACTTTAAATCTGTGTCACCTCATTCTAGATCCTTTTGTGAACAAAAACACCCCTCTTTGTATCCAGTCCCCTCATAATTTTGGAATTCTCTCTCACATCTACTCTTCTTGTCATTGAGGACAGTCCGAGCTCCCCAATTTATCTTCATAACTGAGGATCCATATCCTTGGAACCATTTTTGTAAATCTCTTCTGCATTCCCTGCGATGTTTGTTCACAACCTATCCATAGTTTGGCATCCAGAATTTGACCACAATAATCCAGCTGAGGTCTGACAATTGTCTTATACAAATTCAGTCGTGCTCTTGTACTCCATGTCCCCACTGATAAAGCTCAGAATATTTATTAACTGCTCACTCCACCTGCCTTGCCATGTTCAATAACCTGGCACATATGCAATTCTGTGCTCCTGCTCCTGCACCTGCTACAGAATTGTACCCCTTGTTTTATATTGTCTGCCCATTTTCTTTTGAACAAAATGCAGCACTTCACACTTCTCTGCATTGAAGTTCATCCGTCAAATAGTTTCCAGCAACAAAAACACCTACATCAGATGCCTACTTATTGCCTACAGCTCTACATTTAACACAATAATCCCCTCCAGACTGATCTCAAAACTTCAAGACCTAGCTTTTGGCTCCACTCTCTGCAACTGGATCCGCAGCTTCCTGACTCACAGACTGCAATCAGTGAAGATAGACAACAATATCTCCTCCAAGATAATGCTCAACACTCGAGCTCCCCAAGGATGCATTCTCAGCCCCTCACTGTACTCCCTGATTTTACTCCATTGTGTATAAGTCCTGCCTGATTTGCCAACCAAAATGCAAATGCCATCTACGTTTGCTGATGACACCACCGTGGTAGGATGGATATCAAATAACGATGAGTCAAAATACAGAAAGGAGATGGAGGGCCTGGTGTTATGGTGCAATGGTAACAAACTCTCTCTCTCAATGTTGGCAAAACAAAAGAACTGATCATTGACTTCAAAGAAAGGAGGAGGACGCGTCCTTTCCTACATCAATGGAGCTGAGGTAGAGAGGGTTGGGAACGGCAAGTTTCTCGGAGTGACGATAACCAATGACCTGTCCTGGACTTCCCATGTAAATGCGACGATCAAGAAGGCACAACAACGCCTCTTCCTCAGGCAGCTCAGGAAATTTGGTATGTCCATAAAGTGCCTCACCAACTTCTACAGATGCACAATAGAAAGCAAACAGTCCAGGTCCATAACGGCCTGGTATGACAACTGCTCTGCCCAGGACTGTAAGAAACTACAGAAGGTAGTATGCATGGCCCAGACCATCACAGAAGCCAACCTTCCATCCATGGACTCCATTTACATGGCTCACTGCCGCGGAAAAGCTGCCAACATCATCAAAGACCCACTGCACCCCAGTACTGATCTCCTACAACCTCTTCCGTCAGGCAGAAGATACAGAAGCCTGAACACACGCACTAACAGGTTCACGAACAGTTTCTTCCCAGCTGTTATTAGACTGATAAATGGAGTCTCTAAACTCAAATAATGCTGATCTTGCTAACGTTGATCCCTCCTAGCGCACGCTCTGTGCAATGTAACCTGTATGCCTCTGTATAAGTCTTTTTGATCTGTACATCCTTGCTAACTATTATCTGCCTGTACTGCTTGTAAACAAAGCTTTTTACTGTATTTCAGTACAAGTGACAATAAATCAATCAATCAATCCTATCGCTTTGCCATTGTGGCAGAAGTTATACTATCTACAAGGTGTACTGTTCTAACTCCCCAAGCATCCTTCCACAGCAAACCTGCATCCTCTACCACTGAGAAGGACAAGAGCAGCTGGCACAAGGGAGCTGCATGTACATGCAAGTTCACCTCCAATGCAAGCACTATTCAGATTTGGAACTACAATATTCTACTTCACTGGTTCAAAATCTGAACTCCCATCACACGGGTGAATCTACCATCACTTTGTCAAGAGAAACTTGGAATAGGGATAAATTGTAGGCCTTTTCAGCAATGCTCATAACTAACAAAAAGAAAATAAGTGAGCTTTATTCTGGACAATGTTTGTACTTACCCAGTTGACTAGACTTTCCTGATTCAATGAGTTCTTTTGACCATAGCTACGTTGAACAGTGGGAGCAGGTTCAATATTAACATTTGGAATGCATTTAACAAGGGGGAATAAAAAGACCAAGTTGTCAGGAAAAATCAGAGGAGTGGTTTTCCTTGAGTAGCTCTTTCAAAGAGATGGCACAGGCACAATTGGCTGAATGGCCTTTTCAACATGTGTCATAATTCCAGCTGTGGTGTCACTCAATCTAGAACAAAGAAACATACAAAATAGGAACAGGAGTAGGCCATTCAGCCTTTCAAGCCTGCTCTGCTATTTAATGTGATCAAAACGTAGCCACCATCAGAAATGAGAGAAAGGCTTGCACCTTCAATGACTGGGAGACAAAGGTGTTCTGGTTAGGCTTAGCTGAGGGACCCAGGTGTAATTGAAGACTGTACTCCCAAGCTGATCCCAAATTTAGAAACCTTCAAACAAAAAAAAAGAACAGAAGTCGGCCATTTGGCTCTTTGAGCCTGCTCTGCCTTTCAACATGGTCATGATTGATCATCCAATTCTGTAACCTGTTCCTGATTTCTCCTCATATCCTTTGATCCCTTTGGTCCTAAGAACTATATCTCTACAACCGTTGCCCTGGCCAAAATTGAGTCAAGACCTCCAAATAATTTTATTTGCCAGACACAAGATCTTGCTTTACAGATATTGTTTGCTCCATCTGTCATCAGAAGAGCAATGACTACATTGGAAAAGTGATGAATGGATTGAGAAGTCTTAAGAGGTCCTGATGAGGCACATAATAATGCTAGTCTTTTCTTTACCACCACTGGAGATTTTGCAGCAGTTGACTTCATGATGCTGAGGTGGTGAGTCATTGACCTGGGAGTCTTTATGGCCCTGAAATATTGGTCTTAAAATTGAAGCATGGCACCTCTTGAGAACCATTCCTCCATCAGGATTTTGGACCATCACTTAAATCATTTGATAAGAAGATCCCATTATTCTAGCCTACAATCCGTATTCCTAACCTACTTTTGTGTCACCTTGTTTTATTCTTCCGTCTTGCAGATGTTCATTTTTTTTTCTGATGCTGCCTTGTTATTTTGCTGACTTTGCTCATCAGCACGCTGTGACTGTCTGGGTCCAGATGAACTGTGCAGCTCACATTTATGAATACAAATTGGAGTCTTGTTTTTATTGTACAAATACTTGCTGGCCTAATAAATTCCTGTCCGTATCACTCTCTTTATAATTAATTCAAAGACAAATAGTCATGGACAAGCCCGGAATTTAGGTCTAAATCTGATTATGTGTGATAATTAGCTGTGGAAAAATGTAATCCACAAACAAGGGTTAAGCCTGATCAGAATATGTGCTGTTGCAGGCAGAAAATTTGCCAGCTCAGTACAGGGAGTGATTGGAAAGCCAGATCCATCAAATTAAGTCAAATCAGCTGCCCTCTGTAACTAGGCAGTGTTTACACTTTCAGTCAAAATCCTACGTTTTCATGATGGGGAAGGCATGAGGTGCAGGTGATGGCGCATAGCAACTCCATTAACTTTTTTTTCTTTATTTTCTCATTTTCTTGAACCTAAGATTTGTATCTAGGTACCCGCTTCTACCGAAGATGGCACTGTGTGTTGGTGACATTGTACACTTTTCACTGTACTCCTGTTATTTTATGAGTTGAATACATATGACAATAAACCCAATTCTAATTTGAATTCAACGTTGCATTTGCTCAGTAAACCCCAAATCTGAAAGCATTTTACTGATTATTCCTGGAGATCAAAAACATTGCACAAAGCTTTCCTTTTAAGATATATGGTTTGTCCGGTTGCAATTACATTTATAATTTCACTTTGGAAATCTTCCCTTCTATTCCGTTTAATTGCAGCTGATTTGACTTAATTTGGTAGACCTGGCTTTCCAATCATTCACAGGATCAGAAAAAGTAAGTAATCTGTCAAAGGATATTTTCACCTTCTCACTTCTCAAATGGTGGCAGTCTATTTCAGCTCAGTTAAAGAAAAGACAATTGTTTTATCGGGGCATCCATCCATGACCGTCTTAAGGTGATACAGATGAAAGAGATCCTACAGCCTCTCACTGTTCATCCACCGAGGACAGAAGAAAAAAGGAAAATTCCCTCATACTGCACCCAACCGACTCTTTGTCAAGTAAGAGCTTTAGGACCCTGGAGAATCTTGTGATGATGTCATAGGGATACTCACCTCTGAGTGGAGTTAGTTAGAATTACATTGGGAAGAGTGCATTGAGAATGAGAGAAGGACATGTAGAGATTAGTTTTAATAAGATTACAGCCTGGTATATTTCAGAATGCCACGTATAGTTGTATTGGTAGTAAAATGCAATAAGCAGAATTCTTAAGAAGGCTGAGTCTTAATGCATTTCTTAGCCAGTCTATTAAATTCAAACTCTTAGGTATGAACACAAACCACACAACAAAAGAAACTTTAATTCAGATTTTCATCCTCATAACATTCCTGGCTGTGCATCATTGCTTGTGGAAAATAAAATCTCTTCGGCATTAATCAATGTTTGCCTTTCACTAGCTTGAATCTCTTGACTGTGAATGCCACTTCTCAGTTTGAAACAGATTAAATTTTTTGATATTCATTAACTTGTTATATGATGTCAAATTAAAATCAGAAGGTTGGAGGCTCAGGTGCCACAGTAGAGACTTGTGCACAAATTCTGGGCCCAAGACTCCATTGTAGTGTTGACACAATGTTCATTGTCAGTGGTACTAGTAACACTATCTTTAAGGTCAGTGAGTGAGTTCTCTGTGATGTCCTGGCCAATATTTTTCCCCAAAACTAACATCAGCTTTTATGACAGCTATTGCGTTGTGTTTTTCTGGGAGTTGGTGACATGGTGGCTCAGTACTGGCTGCCTCACAGTGTCAGGGGCCTGGGTTCGATTCTGCCCTCAGGTGACTGTCTGTGTAGAGTTTGCACATTCTCTGCGTGTCTGCATGGGTTTCCTCCCATAGTCCAAAGATGTGCAGGTTAGGTGGATTGGCCATGCCAAATTGCCCATAGTGTCCAGGGATGTGCAACCTAGGTGGATTAGCCTCGATATGCAAGTTTTACAGGGATGGGGTTGGCTCAGGGTGGGATACTCTTTGTAGGGTTGGTATGAACTCAATGGGCCAAAAGGCCTACTTCCACACTGTAGGGATTCTATGAAGTTTGCTGTAGACAAATGTGACAGCTCCATTTCCAACAATACACCAGTGATGATACTTCAAAAGTGCTTCATTGGCTGGAAAACACTTTGAGACATCTGGAATTTATGAAAGCACAATATAAGTGCAAGTCTTGCATTCCGGGAGGTCACCTCTAGATTTCTGCCTTTCATGGCAAAATTACCCCAGTATTCCTTCATTGAGCAATTTTTTGTTTGTTAAGAATTTGACTCATGAGCCTTTTCTATGCCCCCTCTGAACATCTTGCTTGTGCTTCAGTGTTCAAAATCATGGACTGAATTATATGGGTGACAGCTGGGGCACAGACTAATTAAGAGGCCTCTCACAGGATTTCACAATGGATCATGGTCTTCTCTGAGGTGTGGCTTGCATAATCAGAGAGATGGCAGCTTAGCAATGCTGAGTGGTGCCCATAACTGTCACTGCAATATCAAGGAAAGTGCCTAATAGTGAAGAGATGCCCTCAATGTACAGGTGAGTGCATTCGGCTTAGGAGGGGAGTGGCAATCAGGGAGGGATATCCTTGAGCTCAGATGGTGTTACGAGCAACTGGGTGCCATAAAGGAAGCTGGAAGGCCACTGAGTGTCATTGTGTGGTCTTCAACATAGCAACACTCCCTCCCAATGTAAGCAAAATACCTGGGATATTGCATTTATTTAGTCATTTGCGAGGTTCAACTGACCACCTGCTGGTGGTCCAAATTAGCAACTATCTATGCTGGTCGCAATATGCCATCCCAGCAACTTGTCTCACCATTGGCAGCCCAGACCCAAAAGACCAGAAAAATTCTGCCTTATGTCATTAACTAACGAGGGGGCATAGTTTTAAAGTGAGTGGAGGTAGATATAGGGGAGACGTCAGAGGTAGGTTCTTTACTCAGAGAGTGGTAGGGGCATAGAATGCATTGCTGGAGAGGGTAGTGGAGTTGGCCTCATTAGGGGCATTTAAGTGGCTATTAGATAGGCATATGGATGATAGTATAAGGTAGGGGTGGAGGTTAGATAGACCTTAGTTTTAGGGTAAAAGTTCGACACAACATCGTGGGCCGAAGGGCCTGTACTGTGCTGTGCAGTTCTATGTTCTATCTTTTTCTTTACCAATTGGACAATGTGCTGCGGCATTTTGGGATTGCAATGTTGATCGGTGCTCAGGAGTTAAGAGTTCCTGCTCACTCTGCTAACACAAATCACTTACACCCTCAGAGTTAGCGAGATGGTAACTGCGATCATCAAAAAAAGTTATGTGACAAGAATTTGGTTTGCATGCAAAACACTCTATTCGGTTTTCACAGTTCCAGGGAATCAATGGACATTATTGATTATAACTACTTGCCCCTCTAGTGGACTTTGTTATATGATTGATTCAAATGGGTCCACTGTTCGTCAATATGACCAATTGATTTCTGCATTCAAAACTGTTTTGCCTGAAGGGGCTTTTGCAATTCATTCTTGAGCTGCAAGTGCTGATGGCAAATCCAGCATTTATTATCTTTTGCTTAACATGCTTGTTGAGCTTTTTTGAACCACTGCATTCAACATGCTGCAGA